GAGTCCAATTTCGGGGAGTGAGAGCTGACTTACGACGAGGCATGGTGAACAAGGGTGACTGAGCCGGCGTTCCCACAATGCTATGCAGGCGCCTAGATTTTTTGTTTATGGCGCACACCCACCGCGCAGACCCGTTCTCTCACAGGGTAGGCCTATGAGCGTTTTCGCGCTAAATTTGACGGCGCTAGAATTTTGGCATAGATCTACGGTTTGGACACTCAACGTAAAGCCATAGATCTACGGGACGGACCCTGAAAGGGTTAAACAAAAATACCAACCACTCCAACACTATATCCCCCCCTGCTTTTAACATTTCTGTCATGATCCCATCAGTTCCAGCTGCTTTACCCCCTTTCATTCTACGTAATGCCTCACGTACCTCCCCCACACTTACATTCTGCTCTTCTTCACTCCTAAAAGATGGTATACCTCCCTGACCAGTGCATGAAATTACCGCCTCTCTTTCTTCCTTAACATTTAAAAGTTCCTCAAAATATTCTCGCCATCTACCCAATACCTCCCTCTCCCCATCTACTAACTCCCCTACTCTGTTTTTAACTGACAAATCCATACTTTCCCTAGGCTTTCTTAACTTGTTTAACTCCAAAATTTTTTCTTATTTTCATTAAAATTTCTTGACAGTGCCTCTCCCACTCTATCATCTGCTCTCCTTTTGCACTCTCTCACCACTCTCTTCACCTTTCTTTTACTCTCCATATACTCTGCTCTTCTTATAACACTTCTGCTTTGTAAAAACCTCTCATAAGCTACCTTTTTCTCTTTTATCACACCCTTTACTTCATCATTCCACCAATCACTCCTTTTTTCCTCCTGCCCCCACCCTCCTATAACCACAAACTTCTGCCCCACATTCTAATACTGCATTTTTAAAACTATTCCAACCCTCTTCAACCCCCCCCACTACTCATCTTTGCTCTAACCCGCCTTTCTTCCAATAGTCGCTTATATCTCACCCGAACTTCCTCCTCCCTTAGTTTATACACTTTCACCTCCCTCTTACTTGTTGTTGCCACCTTCCTCTTTTCCCATCTACCTCTTACTCTAACTGTAGCTACAACTAAATAATGATCCAATATATCAGTTGCCCCTCTAAAAACATGTACATCCTGGAGCCTACCCATCAACCTTTTATCCACCAATATATAATTCAATAAACTACTTGCATTACGTGCTACATCATACCTTGTATATTTATTTATCCTCTGTTTCATAAAATATGTATTACTTATTACCAAATCTCTTTCTACACATAGCTCAATTAAAGGCTCCCTATTTACATTTACCCCTGGCACCCCAAATTTACCTACTACTCCCTCCATAACATTTTTACCCACTTTAGCATTGAAATCCCCAACCACCATTACTCTCACACTTGATTCAAAACTCCCCACGCATTCACTCAACATTTCCCAAAATCTTTTCTCTCTCCTCTACACTTCTCTCTTCTCCAGGTGCATACACGCTTATTATAACCCACTTTTCACATCCAATCTTTATTTTACTCCACATAATCCTTGAATTAATACATTTATAGTCCCTCTTTTCCTGCCATAGCTTATCCTTCAACATTATTGCTACCCCTTCTTTAGCTCTAACTCTATTTGAAACCCCTAACCTAATCCCATTTATTCCTCTCCATTGAAACTCTCCCACCCCCTTCAGCTTTGTTTCACTTAAAGCCAGGACATCCAGCTTCTTCTCATTCAAAACCCATCCACAATCATCTCTTTCTTATCATCTGCACAACATCCACGCACATTCAGACTTCCCACTTTGACAATTTTCTTCTTATTATTCTTTTTAGTAATCTTTACAGGAAAAGAGGTTACTAGCCCATTGTTCCCGGCATTTTAGTTGACTTTTACAACATGCATGGCTTACGGAGGAAAGATTCTTATTCCACTTCCCCATGGATATAAAACGAAAAGTAATAAGACCAAGAACTATTAAGATAAAATCAAAGAAAACTCAGATGAGTGTGTATAAATAAACGTGTACATGTATGTGTAGTGTGACCTAAGTGTAAGTAGAAGTAGCAAGACATACCTGTAGTCTTGCATATTTATGAGACAGACAAAAGACACCAGCAATCCTACCATCATGTAAAAACAATTACAGGCTTTCGTTTTACACTCACTTGGCAGGACGGTAGTACCTCCCTGGGAGGTTGCTGTCTACCAACCTACTACTACTATTATTATTATTATTATTATTACAACATAAATAATTTGTAATTTTTATTCACACAAAATATATAAGATTTACTATTATGCCATATTGCAATAGTTGTATAAATAATGTCAACCCATTCACGACTGCATATTGGAATTGACAGTGACGTCATTTGTTTACTCTTGAACATAGCCAAAACAATCAAACATTTCTCCTGTGTTGAACTCAATTTCAAGGTACTTTTATTTATTTATTTAGAAATTTTAGCATACATACAGAGGTACAAAAAAAAAATACAGGTAAGAGCAGCATGCCAAAGCCACTTATATGCATAGCATTACGGGCTGGCTTAAAATTAACTTAAGATTAACTAAGCAATGATGAAATCGTCGTGAAAGCAATCAAAATCATATCTATTTCTGTAATATATCTTCCATTCTATCAAATGAGACCAAAAAAACAAGGATACAACCATAAAAACCATACGAAAATACCGCTAAGGGGTGGCTAATTGCCGAGAAGTGAACTCCATTATTTATGCTTAGATTTTTTTCATTTTTGGTGTACGTTAAGAAGCATCTTTCCATCATACATTGCCCAACAAATGAGATACAATTCCCTAGATCAAGAGCAAGAGCCCCTCACCAGCGTCAAGGAACCTGCCTTGAGGTCTGTTCGCTTATGGAAATTTTGCTCGCATATGGAAACAAAAAATCGACCCATCGACTGCTCGTATTTGGAAAAACTCGCACGTGGATGTACTTGCAAGTAGAGGTTCCACTGCATATAGTATATAATTTTCTTAGACTAAACATCTTTAGAAAAATCACCGAATGAGTTAAGGCGTTCAAGAACTAAAACCAAGAGGCAGGGCGAGCCAAAAAGAAAGAAAAGCCCAAAAAGAAGGAAAAAACTTTCATCCTCATTCAACACTTTCACCATCACTCATACATAATCACTGTCTTTGCAGAGGCTCTCGAATATGACAGTTTAGTCATCCCTCCACACTGCCAATATCCTAAACCCCTCCTTTAAAGTGCAGGTATTGTACATCCCATTTCCAGGACTCGAGTCTGGCTAACCGATTTCCCTGAATCCCTTCACAAAATATTACCCTTCTCATAATCCAACAGCTAGTCAGGCCCCAAAAACCATTCATCTCCACTCACTCCTATCTAACACACACACACACACACACACACACACACATACTCATATACAACAGGCCTAGTGTCTAATCAACATGTGCCTAGGACAAAATGGTAACTAACACACACACACACGTACTCATATACAACAGGCCTAGTGTCTAATCGACATGTGCCTAGGACAAAATGGTAACTAACTAACACACACACACACTTGCTGGAAATCCAAGCCCCTAGCCCACAAAACCTTCTTTACCCCCTCCCTCCCACCTTTTTGAGGATGACCCCTAAGCTGCCTTACTTCCCCAATAGATTAATACATTCTCCAAGTCATTCTACTTTATTCCATTCTCTTGAAATGACCAAACCACCTCAACAGCCCCTCTTCAGCCCTCTGACTAACACTTTTAGTAATTCCACACCTCCTCCTAATTTCCACATTATGAATTCTCTGCATAATATTTACACCACACATTGCCCTTAGACATGACATCTCCACTGCCTCCAGCCGCCTCCTCGCTGCAGCATTTACAACCCATGCTTCACACCCATATAAGAGAGTTGGTATCACTATACTCTCCTACATTCCCTTCTTTGCCACCATGGATAATGTTTTTTGTCTCCACAGATACCTCAACACACCACTCACCTTTTTTTCTTCATCAATTCTATGGCTAACCTTCATCCTTCATAAACCCATACACTGACAAATGAACTCCCAAATATCTGAAAACATTCACTTCTTTCATACTTCTATCCTTCAATATGATATCCAATTTTTCTTTATCTAAATTATTTGATACCATCATCACCTTACTCTTAACTATGTTCACTTTCAACTTTCTACCTTTACACACCCTCCCAAATTCATCCACTAACCTTTGCAACTTTTATTTAGAATCCATATGTTACTTTAGAATGCATATATTACTGTATTTCTTTAATGTTACAAAATCCCTGGAGGAGTGTAAATGCAGATGTGGGAATATCTATTCCAATATATATACACCTAAGAGCTGTTTATCATTTTTGAGCCTAAAACTAGCACATTGTTTTAAAAATGTTAGCCAACCAATTTACATTAAAGTTCTTATCTAGGCGATGAATATATAATTCTGCCAGTCACAGAGGTGAAAATGCGACAAGTAGCACAAGTTAGCAGGAAAGTCTACAAGGTGAAGGACAGATAGATGAGGTTTGTTGTGGACATGAACAGGTCTGCAAGGTTAAGAGACCAGATCATAACCAGATTCATATGTTCCTCTTGAAGAAATATTGTTTTGAGGCTACGGCCTCTGCCATGTGAGAAGAGGTGAGCTGGAGTGTGAAATCTTGTCTAGAATCAACTTGAAATGCAGGTATTCTTGTCCACTGGTAGAGGGCAATGCATTTCTCTATTCCACCCCTTTGTTTTAACCTACATCCTGGAACATATGCAGAACATCTTGAAGATGGTGCCAATGTTACATTCTGAAATTGCATTCTTCCGCTCTTGTTCTACATATCTGACTGTTTGATAACCTATTTGAAGTTAGAGAAGAACCATGCTTTAAGTGTCCCATCTTCAATTTAGTTTGCCACATACGTGTAATTATTTAAGGTTCTCAGAGCTTGTAGAACATACTATTTTCTCTTGGATATCATTACAGTAATCTACTATTATATTTGCAAAGAAATATTTTCTGGTGTCATTTCTGCACTGCTTTATTCTTAGTTTAAAACTATGACATATCTGTGACCAATTTTTTCTACCCTTGCAGCCCAGCCTGAGGCCAGACTCTCTTGCTGACTACCTAGCGAACCAGGTTGTTTCTGCTAATGGCCTGCAGACCCGCAAAGCTGTCAAAACCTGGCCTCTTGTTCTAACTGTTGACGGTATATCACACAAGTGTGGAACATCCTCAGTAGCAGGGGCCTTTTTTTGTAATGAACAGAAGGGCCCTGCTTATACAACAGGTTAGGTTCCAGACTACTGCTGTAAAGTGAATCACAGCTTTTTTTTGCTTTCAAATGCATATAAATGCCTGATAACACATTTACATTATGATATATTAAGTGAGCAATTGAGATAGGCCTTACCTCAAAATATTTTTGTCTTTGGTTTATATTCAGTGGTGAATATATTTATTGTAGGAAGTCCGAATCTGAATAATTGAAAATGGGTATAACTGAAAACCACTGCATCAGCAAAACACTGTAAAGTGAAGCGCTATAAAGCAGGGCCTGCTTGTATTTATATACTGGAGAATGGGTTTTAATAAAATTTCACAATAACATGCAGAAATGTTATAAAGATACAGCCTTGTGAAGAAAACTAAAATAGAAAGTTTAAATCGCCAAAACTATCCCTCAGATCGGAATAAAATACTGCAGTCGAGGTTACTTAATAATACACTAACAAAATCAATAAGTAATTTATCTTGTAACACTTAGGAAACCTAATACTGCTGAGGAGGGGTTGTTGAGGTGGTTCGGATATTTAGAGAGGATGGAACGAAATAGAATGACTTGGAAGGCATATAAATCTGTAGTGGAAGGAAGGCAGGGTAGGAGTCATCCTAAAAGGTTGGAGGGAGAGGGTAAAGGTGGTTTTGTATGTGAGGGGCTTAAACTTCCAGCAAGTGTGTGTGAGCGTGTTAAATAGGAGCAAGTGGAGGCAAATGGTTTCTATGACTTGAAGTGCTGTTGGAGTGTGAGCAAAGTAACATTTTTGAAGGGATTCAGGGAAACTGGTTAGCTGGACTTGAGTCCTGGAGGTGGGAAGTACAGTGCTTGTGCTCTGAAGGAAGGGGTGGAGATATCACTATATCTTGCCTCTGGCACGACAATGATGAGTGATAATGAAAGTGTTTCTTCTTTTTCAAGTCACCCTGCCTTGGTGGGAAACAGCCGATGTGTTAGGCTGTAATATGCCCATGAACATCTATCTTGTTAGACTTTGGGGACTATCATAGAAGCTTAATACAGAATCTCTGATCTAAAACTGTGCATGCTACAGATATTTTAACTAACTGCACTGTGTTAATGTATTTGTACAATTTTTTGAAAGTAAAGTACTGTAAATTTTAACTTTTTGCCTGCTTGATTTTGTAGTACCAGTACTTTATTTACCTTATCAAATTTCCCCTCCTGTCTGTTATTAAAAGTTGGATCATAAGCATTTATGACAGAGCTCCTCATCTTCACTTTGAATATCAAACATTATCATCTCTACAGAATTTGTTAGGAATTTTTCTTGTACTGCTTGTAGTTATATTACTACTACTCTATCTCTTCTTTCCAACTATGTCCTTTCTCAATATTAAGTAGTTTACTTTGAAAGTTCTCTTTTAATCATAAAGCTATTAACTAAATGCCATGACTGACACTGCTAGAAATGATGAATAAAAAGACAAGCCCATTTCTCAATCTCCTCTCAGAGATACATAGACACTGGCAAACAGTGATGTAAATTTTTCATCAAAAAATGAAGTTTTTAGGTAAGAAAAATACTGAGAGCACTAGACACCAAAATATTAAAGGCAGTAAGGACACAGCCAACAGTACACTTATCACAATAAGTGTGCTGTGGGCTGAGAGATTTCTCTCTTCTGTAAGCAAATTTATCTAAAAACAATGTTTCTGAAAGTGATGTTGAACCACTGACACTTCACACTAATGAGATGATTCATATCCAATATAGGTCAATGTACTGTAATTCCATGCCCAACCTGGCTATAAAACAGATTTGTTTACATTACTATACTCAACAACTGTGGAAATAAACAGTATTATGAAAACTTGCTTCCTGTTCAGATGTTAGCGTATCATTGGTAACCATTGTCATCATCTCCTTAAGTAGTAGTTTTTGTAGATCTACATAGCTGACATCACGCACCACCTGACTTTGATATATACCACCAAACCTGAAACAAGGATAATATAATAGCAATTATGGTTAAATCAAACAAGTACGTACTATATATTCCTTCGCAATAAAATCATATTATGTCTAATCCTTCACTATACCTACCTTCATTTTTCTAACCAAAATTATTTGTCATCACAAGCACTGTAGCGCATTATCAACCCACAAATAGCAAAGATGTTAAGAATAACATTGATAAGTGATATATCATATACAGTAGAACCTTGGTTTTCGTTTGCCCTGGTTTTCGTCGAATTCAGGATTCGACAACTTTTTTCATCAAAATTTTGTCCCAGTTTTTGTTCATCACCTCAGTTTTCATCGAGTTGACGGTGGTCCGCTGTACCTAACGTGTCTGCCTGCACCCACACAAAGTATCCCACGTGTTCTGAGTATGTCTGGCTTTGTTTCTCATCGGTAAACGGTGGTAGTGATGGTGGGAGAGGGTGGTAAAGGGTGGTTGTAATAGTGGTAGAGGGTGGTAGTAGTTGTGATGGTAGAGGGTAGTAGTGGTTGTGATGGTGGTAGAGGGTGGTAGTGATTGTGATGGTGGTAGAGATAACCTATCCTCCCTCTCCCCTCCTCACCGTCTTCCATACGCCAACAAAAGTTTTCAATAAAGGTAAAAGTGATGTTAAATGTTCATTTATCCATTTCGTTAGCCCTTTATATTTATTTCTAATTGTTTTCTGTATGTAAAACTATAGTTATTCTCTATAAAATGAATTTTTTGTTAATACTTTTGGGTGTCTGGAACGGATTAATTGGATTTATATTAATTCTTATGGGAAATATTGCTTCAGTTTTTGTCAAATTCAGTTTTCATCAGACTTTCTGGAACGAATTAATGACGAAAGCCGAGGTTCCACTGTACTAACATATTTTAATTGTTAAAAATACTGTAAAATGCAAATTTTAAGATGAAAAATTACCACAAATGAATAGAGATGGGCACACCATCTCTTTGGATAAGTTCAAATATTCATCTCAGATAGCTGGATTCTCTATCCTGAATTAAGCTATAACAATTAAATTGTCACTTGCTATGCCATTTATTTCAACAGCTCTTTTTCATATATGATTCATGCACTAACCTTTTTACCATCTCTCACATAGATGTACATTACTGAGTCCAGTGTCACTTACACAGACCTACATGTAAATTTTAGCACCTTCAAATTTGGCATGAAAGGCCACACAGAGGATATAATACTGAAAAATGAGTTCTATGGCTTCGAGGAGGTGACCAAAAGTGACAGGAAATGGCAGAAATATTGACAAAAACCCCAATGACCCTCAATCATCAACATGTCTGCAACACATCCATGCGTTAAGCGAAAGCTAATAGTCTTCCATAGTTTAAACAAACCTGTGAGTGGTAATGATGACAGTAGTGATGAGTTTAATTTTCTAGCAACTGATGACCAGACAGTTGATAGTAATGATGATTATTTCCCTGTGAAGTGTCAATTTATAAAGCATGCATTATGACAGTGTGCCTAGAGCTATCCTCAAGGGACTTGGTGCATCATCGGACCCAACTCCATTGAGTGAGAGTGATACTGATTATGGTGGTGTTTCCATTGGCATGGGTAGTGGACCACAAGAAATGTTAAAGATGCATGAAGTACTAACTGCTGAGACAAAGACACACGCAGCACGAGCGCCAGCCCTGGGAGGGAGCCATATCCCTCACTCCCCCCACACACACAGCAACAACCACTATTAACACCACCGCTGATGCTGGCATCGCCACAACCAGTTGCACAAATCCAGCAACCACCAAGACAACATCTGGGTTTGGACGGAAGATGAAAATTTTCTGCTCAAATAGGAGTCAATGAAGGCAGTGTCAATAAGAGATAACAGGTGAGGCCAGGAGCTATAATTTGACCCCTGCAAGTACAACTAACCAAGTACTGGTGGAAAGTTTTAAACCCTATAATTTGTGAATAGTTAAAATCCTATAATTTTTAGAAAAAAAGTAAATGACCTTTTTAAGAAATTAATATAAAGAAATTTTACTAATTTCAAATTAAAAATAGAATACCTTATGTTCTCAGGTTCAGCAAGAACTACATTAACCCAAGTGATGAGGATAAAGGCACCACTTTCTTGTGTGGGCACCTTGTGAGGAGGCAACTCAATGGCATATATGGGGTCACTATCACTAATCACATTCACTGATGCACCATCTGTAAACAAAAATATAAATAGTTTAGAACCAACATCCTCAATGAAGCTGCACAAGCTTCAAATAATTCCACAACAAAAACCACTCTAAGCATTTAGATAAGAAACTTGAACAGATGCTTGGTTTCAAGATATTATATGTTAAAAAATAGAGAGTAACAATTTACAAAACCCTAGAACTGTGTGGTTATTCAGTACTTTTAATATAAAATGGCTAATATCATTAATTTACTGCAATCATTACTAATTGTCACATTTTGCTAGTTCAACAGACCTTGTTGGCATATATATTTGATCACAAAAAAAAAAAAGCTGAGCATCTCTATTCAAAAATCTACCATACATTTCTTAACTTTTTTGTACCCAACAAATAAGAACCCATTTTGTACCCAACAAATAAGAACCCATCACGCCTACACCCAACAACCATAGTGTATACCAAAGATCAAGTTTAATGCATCTGATGATGTAACAACTTAAATATGCAGAAGGGAGGTAGGAAGAATGGTGGGTTATGCATTTTATAAAGGCATGTGGTGTGGCTAACTCTCGACAAAGTAGAGTGGTCCCTTGTTTACTGTATTTAATCCATTCCTGGAGGAGCTACTATTATCGAAATCTACGATTTTCGAATGAATTTTCCCCATAAGAAATAATGTAAATACAATTAATCCGTTCCTGACACCCAGAAGTATTAAAAAAAAATTTTTTTAATGAAATATAGATGTAGTACATAAACAATACAATGGGAAATGATGAATGAAACATTAACAGCATAACACTTACCTTTATTGGAGATTCTTCTTAGTATATGGGAGACTGGAGGAGGAGAGAGATTGGATTATTTACAGTTTGGAAGGGGAATCCCCTTCCAGCAACACCTCAGGTACCAATTGCTTTTCTGGGGTTGCTTCTCTTCTCTGTTTCTTAATGCCACTAGGACCAGCTTGAGAGTCGCTGGAGTCCTGTTTTGCAAAATAACTGTCCAGAGAGCTCTGTTTCTGGTGTCTCTTTAACACTTCTCTAAAATGGCCCAAGACTTTGTCACTGTACATGTTGCCAACATGGCTTGCAACAGCCTTGTCAGGGTGATGTTTCTCCATAAATCTTTCCATCTTACCCCACATTGCAAAAATCTCCTTAATTTCTGAAGAAGACACCTTCTTCCATCTCTCTTCCTCCTTCTCTGCAGCAAGATTCTGAGCTGCGATCTGTTGCTCTTCCTGCTGAATCTTGCAGCTCCTCAGTGGTGAGCTCTTCGTTGTGGTCTTCCACCAACTCTTCCACATCCTCCAAACTCACATCCAACCCCATGGAACTCCCCAGTGCCACAATAGATTTAACAACAGACATAGGCTCATCAGGGTCAGTCCCAAACCCTTCAAAATCCCTCTTGTCAACACAGTCTGGCCACAATTTTCTCCAAGCAGAGTTCAAAGTCCTGGTAGTCACTCCCTCCCAAGCCTTACCTATAAGGCTTATTATGCAATGGAGGATGCTGAAGTGTTCTTTCCAAAAATCTCTTAGGGTCAAGTGAGTGTCTGAGGTCACATTCAAGCACCTTTGAAATATTGCTTTGGTGTAGAGTTTTTTAAAGTTTGCAATGACCTGCTGGTCCATGGGCTGGAGGAGAGGAGTGGTATTCGGGGGCAAGAACTTTACTGTGATGAACCCAAACTCTTAGAAAATTAGGTCATCCAAGTTTGGAGGATGAGCAGGTGCATTGTCCATTACTAGGACGCACTTGAGATCCAATTTCTTTTCCAGGAGGTAATTCTTCACACTAGGGCCAAACACTTCATTGAACCACTCGACGAAAATTTCCCTCGTGACCCATGCCTTACTATTAGATTTCCAAAACACACACAATTTACTCTTCATAACATTGTTTTTCCTGAACACACTGGGATTTTCAGAATGGTACACTAGTAACGGCTTCACTTTGAAATCCCCACTAGCATTAGCACAGAACATGAGCGTCAGCCTGTCTTTCAAAGGCTTGTGTCCTGGCAGTGCCTTTTCCTCCTGTGTAATGTAGGTCCTCTTTGGCATTTTCTTCCAAAAGAGGCCTGTTTTGTCACAATTGAACACTTGTTCTGGTTTCAGTCCTTTACTGTTTATGTACTCCTTGAACTCATGCACATATTTTTCAGCCACTTTATGGCCCGAACTGGCAGCCTCACCATGCCTTACCACACTGTGTATGCCAGTACAGTTCTTAAATCTCTCAAACCAACCTTTGCTGGCCTTAAATTCACTCACATCACCACTATTTGCATGTAATTTCTTTACCAGATCGTCGTGCAACTGCCTAGCCTTTTCACAAATAATCGACGTCATAACACTATCTCTTGCTAACTGTTTCTCATCTATCCACACCAATAATAACTTCTCAACCTCTTTGAGTACTGGTGATATCATTTTTGTCAGCATATTTACCCCCTTTGCAACAACAGCCTCCTTGATTTCCTTTTTCTTGGCCATGATGGAACATATGGTTGTGTAGGGTTTGTTATACATCCTGGCCAGTTCAGCCGCACTTAAGCCACTTTCATATTGTTCAATGATGTTTTTCTTAAATTCAATTGTATTTCTCACCTTCTTTACCAAAGGCTTGGCACTAGGAGCTTTCTTTGGAGCCATGGTAGCTTATTTAGTACTTGCAAGCACTAAAATGAGTGGAATATTATGAAATATTTCATAGGAGCACGTGAGGGGACCTTCACTCTCTGGTAAACAATGCCAGACTGGCTGGGTAGGGAGGCTGCCCCGGCTAACACCGTGCATACGCGTCCCGGACAACCTACTATTCCTGAGTCAATCTATGATTAGCGAAATCTACGACTCTCGAGAACTACGATTATCGAAGGACCACTGTACGAAATTATGAGATTCCTAATGCACTTGCCAAAACAAATATAAGCTATACAAATAATTCAGATATGCAGTGGAGAGCTGGGGAGTAAAATGGGAGAAATTAAGAGTGAAAATTACTGAAGTGAAAATTACTGCCACTCTAAACTGCATCTGCAATGTATACAGTATACACTCCCTAACATTAAAACTTAAATATTTCAGATGTGTGGAGGAGTGCTGAGTTCAAAGTAATTTGACTCCAGTCAAATTACTTTGTTAGGGTAAGGTGCTGTTAGGGTAAGGTGCTGGATTGAAAGGTAGTAAATCTGGTACGGAGTGGGAGTTGTCATATTGTTATTTACTGATGACATTGTTCTTTTAGGATATTCATAAGAAAAACTGCAAAGGATGGTAAATGAATTTGGAAGGGTATGTAAAAGAAGGAAATTAAAAGTAAACATAGGAAAGGGCAATGAGAGATTGGATATTAGATTGGAGGGAGTGAATATGGAAAAAGTAAATGTACGTATTCAGATGTCTGGGAGTGGAGTTGTTGGTAGAAGGTTCTAAGTGAGACGAGGTGAACCAAAGAAATGACAAAGGGAAAAAGGTGAAACGGGCACTGAGGTATCTGTGGTAACAAAGAACTCTATCCATGGAGGCAAAAAGGGGAATGTACCAGAGTATAGTGGTACAAACATTTTTGTATGGGTGTGAAGCATGGGTTCTGAATGTTGCAGCAAGGCGGAGACTGCAGGCAGTAAAGATGGTGTGTCTGAGAGCAACGTGTGGTGTGTGTATGATGCAGAAAATTCGAAGTTTGGAGATTAAGGGGAGGTGTGAAGTTACCAAAAGTATTATTCAGAGAGCTGACGAGGGGTTGTCGAGGTGGTTTGGACTTTTAGAGAGGATGGAGAAAAATAGAATGACTAGGAAGGCATATATATCTAGGATGGAGGGAAGGAGGGTGAGGGGTAATCCTAGATGAGGTTGGAGGGAGGGGGTAAAGGAGGTTTTGAGTGCCAGGGGATTGGACACTCAAGCTTGTTTGAGCATGTTAGACAAGAGTGAAGGAAAGTGATTTTTATGATTTGTTGTGCTGTTGGAGGTAACATTTATGAAGGTAATAGTTATGAAAGGAAACTAGTTAGCCAGACCTGAGTCCTGGAAGTGAGAGGTACTATGCCTGCACCCTGAAGGAGGGGTGGAGATATTATGGTATTGAGGGTCATCTGAACTGTGATGGCTGCACTCTTCTGGCAGACAGTGATTGAATGAGTGACAGTGAAAGTGTTTCCTTATTTGTAGGGTCACCCTACCTCTGTGGGAAATAGCCAGAGGATTTAAAAAAAAAAATAATCTGACTCCATGTCAGTTTCACTCCCAGTAGCCTCTCTTTTTAGCTTGTAAGAGGGCAGATGACACAGTATGGCAAATCTAATGACACTGTGCATTCTAGGGATAGTGTCTCAAGCAGCAAATGATCCTATCTAACATGTTTAAAAATTCTGGACTTCTATTACACCATGTTCAAAATCATAGTAGGTTGGTAGACAGCAACCATTCGGGGAGGTACTACCGTCCTACCAAGTGAGTGTAAAAGGAAGCCTGTATTTGTTTTACATGATGGTAGGATTGCTGGTGTCTTTTTTCTGTCTCATAAACACGCAAGATTTCAGGTACGTCTTGCTACTTCTACTTACGCATAGGTTGCACTACACATACATGTACACTACACAAATAACCTGCACATAGAAGAGAGGAGCTTACGACGACATTTCGGTCCGACTTGGACCATTTACAAAGTGACTTTGTAAATGGTCCAAGTTGGACCGGAATGTCGTCATAAGCTCCTCTCTTCTATGTGTGGGTTATTTGTGTATCGTTCCAGTCACGGTATTGTGCCTTTTTTGTTATTTACATGTATACGTTCATGTATACACACTCATCTGAGTTTTCTGTGATTTTATCTAAATAGTTCTTGTTCTTAGTGCTTTTCATTTCATATCCATGGGAAAGTGGAATAAGAATCTTTCCTCCATAAGCCATGCGTGTTGCAAAAGTCAACTAAAATGCCAGGAACAATGGGCTAGTAACCCCTTTTCCCATATAGCTTACAAAAAGAAAAAGAAGAAAACTGTCAAAGTGGGATGTTTGAGTGTGCGTGGATGTTGTGCAAATGATAAGAAAGAGATGACTGAGGATGTTATGAATGAGAAGAAGCTGGATGTCCTGGTTTTAAGTTAAAGTTGAAGGGGGTAGGAGAGGGTTAAATGTGAAAAGTGGGTTATAGTAAGTGTTTATGCACCTGGAGAAGAGAGAAGTGTAGAGTAGAGAGAGAGATGTTGGGAAATGTTGAGTGAGTGTGTGAGGAGTTTTGAACCAAGTGAGAAAGTACTTGTGGTTGGGGATCTCAATGCTAAAGTGGATAAAAATGTTGTGGAGGGAGTAGTAGATAAATTTGGGGTGCAAGGAGTAAATGAAAACGGGGAGCCTTAATTGAGCTATGTGTAGAAAGAGGTTTGGTAATAAGTAATACATATTTTATGAAAAAGAGGATAAATAAGTATACAAGGTATGATATAGCATGTAATGAAAGTAATTTGTTAGATTATGTATTCATTGATGAAAGGTTGATGAGTAGGCTTCAGGATGCACATGTTTATAGAGGAGCAACAGATATATCGGATCATCATTTAGTTGTGGCTACAGTTTAGAGTAAGAGGTAGATGGGGCAAAAGGAAAATGGCAACAGCAAGTAAGAGAGGTGAAAGTGTATAAACTAAGGGAGGAGGAAGTTAGGGAGAGAGATATGCAACAATCGGCAAAAAGGTAGGCTAGTGCAAGTATGAGTAGTGAGGGGAGTGTTGAAGAGGGTTGGAATAGTTTTAAAAATGCAGTACATGTATTAGGATGTGGGGCAGAAGTTTGTGGCTATAGGAGGGTGGGTGCAGGAGGAAAGAGGAGTGACTGGTGGAATGATGAAGTTAAGGGTGTGATAAAAGAGAAAAAGGTAGCTGATGAGAGGTTTTTACAAAGCAGAAGTGCTGTAAGAAAAGCAGAGTATATGGAGTGTAAAAGAAAGGTGAAGAGAGTGGTGAGAGAGTGCAAAAGGAGAGAAGATGAAAGAGTGGGAAAGGCACTGACAAGAAATTTTGTTGAAAATAAGAAAAAAAATTGGAGATAAACAAGTTAAGAAAGCCTAGGGAACAAATGGATTTGTCAGTTAAAAACAGAGTAGGGAAGTTAGAGGAGGAGCTGGAGGTATTGGGTAGATGGCAGGAATATTTTTAGAAACATTTAAATGTCACCTAGGTAGTAGGTTGGTAGACAGCAACTGCCCAGGGAGGTACTACCGTCCTGCCAAGTGAGTGTAAAACGAAAGCATGTAATTGTTTTACATGATGGTAGGATTGCTGGTGTCCATTTTTCTGTCTCACAAACACGCAAGGTTTCAGGTATGTCTTGCTACTTCTACTTACACTTAGGTCACACTACACATACATGTTTTTTTTTTTTTCAACAAGTCGGCCGTCTCCCACCGAGGTAGGGTGACACAAAAAAGAAAGAAAATCCCCAAAAAGAAAATACTTTCATCATCATTCAACACTTTCACCACATTCACACATTATCACTGTTTTTGCAGAGGTGCTCAGAATACAACAGTTTAGAAGCATAAACGTATAAAGATACACAACATATCCCTCCAAACTGCCAATATCCCAGACCCCTCCTTTAAAGTGCAGATATTGTACTTCCCATTTCCAGGACTCAACTCCGACTATATGAAAATAACCGGTTTCCCTGAATCCCTTCACTAAATATTACCCTGCTCACACTCCAACAGATCGTCAGGCCCCAAGTACCATTCATCTCCATTCACTCCTATCTAACACGCTCACGCATGCTTGCTGGAAGTCCAAGCCCCTCGCCCACAAAACCTCCTTTACCCCCTCTCTCCAACCCTTTCGAGGACGACCCCTACCCCGCCTTCCTTCCCCTATAGATTTATATGCTTTCCATGTCATTCTACTTTGATCCATTCTCTCTAAATGACCAAGCCACCTCAACAACCCCTCTTCTGCCCTCTGACTAATACTTCTATTAACTCCACACCTTTTCCTAATTTCCACACTCCGAATTTTCTACATAATATTTACACCACACATTGCCCTTAGACAGGACATCTCCACTGCCTCCAACCGTCTCCTCGCTGCTGCATTTACCACCCAAGCTTCACATCCATATAAGAGTGTCGGTACTACTATACTTTCATACATTCCCTTCTTTGCCTCCATAGATAAGGTTTTTAGACTCCACATATACCTCAACGCACCACTCACCTTTTTTCCCTCATCAATTCTATGATTAACCTCATCCTTCATAAATCCATCCGCCGACACGTCAACTCCCAAGTATCTGAAAACATTCACTTCTTCCATACTCCTCCTCCCCAATTTGATATCCAATTTTTCTTTATCTAAATCATTTGATACCCTCATCACCTTACTCTTTTCTATGTTCACTTTCAACTTTCTAACTTTACACACATTCCCAAACTCATCCACTAACCTTTGCAATTTTTCTTTAGAATCTCCCATAAGCACAGTATCATCAGCAAAAAGTAACTGTGTCAGTTCCCATTTTGAATTTGATTCTCCATAATTTAATCCCACCCCTCTCCCGAACACCCTAGCATTTACTTCTTTTACAACCCCATCTATAAATATATTAAACAACCATGGTGACATTACACATCTCTGTCTAAGACCTACTTTTACGGGGAAGTAGTCTCCCTCTCTTCTACACACCCTAACCTGAGCCTCACTATCCTCATAAAAACTCTTTACAGCATTTAGTTACTTACCACCTATTCCATATACTTGCAACATCTGCCACATTGCTCCTCTATCCACTCTATCATATGCCTTTTCTAAATCCATAAATGCAATAAAAACTTCCCTACCTTTATCTAAATACTGTTCACATATATGCTTCAATGTAAACACTTAATTTACACATCTCCTACCCACTCTGAGACCTCCTTGCTCATCCACAATCCTACATTCTGTCTTACCTCTAATTCTTTCAATTATAACCCTACCATACACTTTTCCTGGTATACTCAGTAAACTTATTCCTCTATAATTTTTACAATCTCTTTTCTCCCCTTTCCCTTTATATAAAGAGACTATACATGCTCTCTGCCAATCCCTAGGTACCTTCCCCTCTTTCATACATTTATTAAACAAAAGTACCAACCACTCCAACACTATATCCCCCCCTGCTTTTAACATTTCTGTCATGATCCCATCAGTTCCAGCTGCTTTACCCCCTTTCATTCTACGTAATGCCTCACGTACCTCCCCCACATTTACATTCTGCTCTTCTTCTCTCCTAAAAGATGGTATACCTCCCTGGCCAGTGCATGAAATTACTGCCTCCCTTTCTTCCTTAACATTTAAAAGTTCCTCAAAATATTCTCGCCATCTACCTAATACCTCACTCTCCCCATCTACTAACTCCCCTACTCTGTTCTTAACTGACAAATCCATACTTTCCCTAGGTTATCTTAACTTGTTTAACTCCAAAATTTTTCCCTATTTTCATTAAAATTTCTTGACAGTGCCTCTCCCACTCTATCATATGCTCTCCTTTTGCACTCTCTCACCACCCTCTTCACCTTTCTTTTACTCTCCATATACTCTGCTCTTCTTATAACACTTCTGCTTTGTAAAAACCTCTCATAAGCTTTTTCTCTCTTTTCACACCCTTTACTTCATCATTCCACCAATCACTCCTCTTTCTCCTGCCCCCACCCTCCTATAACCACAAACTTCTGCCCCACATTCTAATACTGCATTTTTAAAACAATTCCAACCCTCTTCAACCCCCCCACTACTCATCTTTGCACTAGCCCCACCTTTCTGCCAATAGTCGCTTATATCTCACCCGAACTTCCTCCTCCCTTAGTTTATACACTTTCACCTCCCTCTTACTTGTTGTTGCCACCTTCCTCTTTTCCCATCTACCTCTTACTCTAACTGTAGCTACAACTAAATAATGATTCGATATATCAGTTGCCCCTCTATAAACATGTACATCCTGGAGCCTACCCATCAACCTTTTATCCACCAATACATAATCTAACAAACTACTTTCATTACGTGCTGCATCATACCTTGTATATTTATTTATTCTCTTTTTCATAAAATATGTATTACTTATTACCAAATCTCTTTCTACACACAGCTCAATTAAAGGCTCCACATTTACATTTACCCCTGGCACCCCAAATTTACCTACTACTCCCTCCATAACATTTTTACCCACTTTAGCATTGAAATCCCCAACCACCATTACTCTCACACTTGATTCAAAACTCCCCACACATTCACTCAACATTTCCCAAAATCTCTCTCTCTCTCCTCTACTCTCTCTCTCTCTCCTCTACACTTCTCTCTTCTCCACACTTCTCTCTTCTCCAGGTGCATACACACTTACTATAACCCACTTTTCACATCCAATCTTTATTTTACTCCACATAATCCTTGAATTAATACATTTATAGTCCCTCTTTTCCTGCCATAGCTTATCCTTCAACATTATTGCTACTCCTTCTTTAGCTCTAACTCTATTTGAAACCCCTGACCTAATCCCATTTATTCCTCTCCATTGAAACTCTCCCACCCCTTTTAGCTTTGTTTCACTTAATTAAAGCCAGGACATCCAGCTTCTTCTCATTCATAACTCCCACAATCATCTCTTTCTTATCATCTGCACAACATCCACGCACATTCAGACTTCCCACTTTGACAATTTTCTTCTTCTTATTCTTTTTAGTAATCTTTACAGGAAAAGAGGTTACTAGCTCATTGTTCCCGGCATTTTAGTTGACTTTTACAACACGCATGGCTTACGGAGGAAAGATTCTTATTCCACTTCCCCATGGATATAAAAGGAAAAGTAATAAGACCAAGAACTATTAAGATAAAATCAAAGAAAATTCAGATGAGTGTGTATAAATAAACGTGTACATGTATGTGTAGTGTGACCTAAGTGTAAGTAGAAGTAGAAGTAGCAAGACATACCTGTAATCTTGCATATTTATGAGACAGACAAAAGACACCAGCAATCCTTCTTTCTTTCAATACACCGGCCGTATCCCACCGAGGTGGGGTGGCCCAAAAGGAAAAACGAAAGTTTATCCTTTTACATTTAGTAATATATACAGGAGAAGGGGTTACTAGCCCCTTGCTCCCAGCATTTTAGTCGCCTCTTACAACACGCATGGCTTATGGAGGAAGATATTCTGTTCCACTTCCCCGTGGAGGTAAGAGGAAATAAACAAGAACAAGAATTTTTTATTATCACACTGGCCGATTCCCACCAAGGCAGGGTGGCCCGAAAAAGAAAAACTTTCACCATCATTCACTCCATCACTGTCTTGCCAGAAGGGTGCTTTACACTACAGTTTTTAAACTGCAACATTGCACCCCTCCTTCAGAGTGCAGGGCACTGTACTTCCCTCTCCAGGACTCAAGTCCCGGGCCCGCCAGTTTCCCTGAACCCCCTTTATAATGTTACTTTGCTCACACTCCCAAAAAAACCGTAAGTTTAAAAACCCCTTTTTTTTCCCC